ACCCCCCCCCCCGCCGCAACAAAAGATCCCACTTGCCTCAAGGAAGATCCCGTGTGCCGCAACCAAGACCCGATGCAGCCGAATAAATATAAATAAATAAATAAATAAATAAATAAATAAATAAATAAATATAAAAGGTACCAAAAAAATTTGACCAGATACTGAGCTATGAAGCAAGTCTCAACACATCTCAAAACTATAATATACAGAGTATATTCTATGCGCCCCCTGCATTGGAAACGTGGAGTCTTAATCCCTGGACCGCCAGGGAAGTCCCAGGACATGACTTTCTTTTGACTGGTTGGTGGTCAGGTAACAAAGTGATGTTCTGGATAATCTTAATCATCAATCTTCTGGTTCCAACCAGTCTGAGGTCTATGCTTGTGCTCTGTGTGAAGTCACCATCCTCCACTTGGGTGGGGATCTTATTTTCTGCAGAATAACTCAAAGATATGTGTCAGATTGTTATGTATATCTCTTGAGAAGGAACTAGAATTGTTTTATTGCTGAACTATTGTTTTTTGACTGTTTTTCCTTTGTTTCTGCATTCCCTCACTTCTCTGCTTGAGTCTGCTCTTTGGAACTCAGGGAAGGTCTAGGAGACCAAAGCCTTTTTCTACAAAAAGGGGACACAGAGGGGCCCTGCAGGGTCCTTCTCTGTTTCACAACGACACACTGCACCCAGCTTCGGTCTCCACCCATCTCTGGCTCTGGATGAATAGGTGAAGCTTCAATCCCTAACTGTTTGGCAAATACTGTGAAGGATATGAGATTTTCACCAACCTGCAAAAAAATAAGGTAGCCTGCCACAGATTCATGGGTATTGGCAGAACATAGGAGACTCCTGGATCAGAGACAATGGACTTTATAATTCATGGCACAGCAGGCAGCATGACCTTCCTGTTCATTTCAGTTCACTTTGCCCCTCAGTCCCCACAGGGGTATCAGAGTGACCCAGGTGGATTCTGTGCACACAATCTTGGTGCCAACTGTTGGGGAATTGAGCTTACAGATCTTCAATCTTTCAAGGGAGCTGTGAGGAAACCTGCCTGACTTTTAACCTGGAGAGTGATATTATCTTGGACTGCTAACAGACCTGCTCTCAGGGAATATTATATTTATTATCCTGAACAATAAATAAATCTGTTATGGTGGGATATTATCTTTATTCTCCGGGACAGTAAACAAACATGGTCTGTCGCTCTATACAAATATCCTTGAAAAGACGTCTGGAGCTAAACGGTTGTAAATGCCTTTCTCCGAAGACACACAGAAAGGTGAGAGAACCACGGAGAATTGTCTCCCAACGTCATTCAGATCATGCCCTAGATTCTTCCCTGCAGGACGAGTCACCCTTCCTTGGTTAAAACACTGATCCATCATATCTACATTCTGAAGCCCCACCAGGATTCTGCGCCAAGTTCCCAGTGATGACATTCAGAGTGTGGGCATTTGGTCTGGCTGTGCAACATGCTGCTCTGGTGTGGGTGTCTGTGTGTGCATGGCTGTGACCTTGAGGGGCCATATCATATTTCCCATATGTGTGTCAGTCCATGGCCCTGTGGCCTTGAAAAATCTTTGTTTGTGTCCTTGTGTGTGGTACAGTTCTCTGTGTGCGTGAGTGTTTGGGTGTGCAAGATGCTATATGTCACATCTTGCCCACACATGTGAATCATGACTCCATGGGGGAAACCCAATGAGTGACCTTCAACAATAAGTATCTGAACTTGGCTCTGCCCTAGAGATGGATCCATATGCCAAGTTCAGATTCTTCGTGTTGAAGGTCAGTTGAAGCTTTGGCCCACTGTGAGTCCAAAGACTTTGAGCACGAATTTGTGGCAGAATGAAGGGACAAAGTAGTTCTAGAATAGCTTCTAGCCTGGGGAGCCAAATTATCTGGGGGTCCCAGAGCATCTGAAAATGATAGGGTTCTAGAATGTCTAGAGATCTGTGGTTTTAGACTATTTTACCATCTTGGGTTCTAGAGCATCTGAGGACCTAGATTTCCAGAATATCTCAGGCCCTTCTATTCTAGAATCTGAAGGTCTGGTATTCTAGAGCTTTTGAAGGTCTGTGGTTCTAGAATGACAGAGACCCTAGGATTCTGGAATAACTAAGGGTCTATGGTTCTGGAATGTCTAAAAGTCATCTGGGGGCTTAGACACCATCGTTTTCCCATATTATCTGTGAGGAAATCAAGTGCCAGGGACCCCTAGGCATTGGCCACTGATGTCCTTAACAGTCAGCCCCAATCATGCAGCCCCTTCCTATATATGTGATGGATTTCCAGAAACAGGGAGAAACTATGCTTATAATAGGTCCCATCTTTCACTGGGTGATCTGAGGTCAGTATCTCCTTCTACCTGTGCCTCCTCATTATTTAAACAAGCCACAATAGACTCTAGACAATTTCCCAGGGCCCTCTATGGTCCTGAGACGCTGGTAAACAAACTTAAATTCCCAAAGCTTTGGGTCATCTTAATGATGATCTCCAACCTCCAGAAAACAGAATCCAGATATCAAGCCTCAGGATGCAGAATGAAGACTCTAGGCTCCCAGTCTCTAAAGTCATGCTCTAGAGTCAAGAGTCTAGGAATCTCAGAATCACGGAAGCCAGGCCCCTGTCTCCTAGTCCAGTCGCTTAAATACGCAATGCAGTTTTTTGGGTTTTGGCGGGGGGAGTTTGTTTTTGTTTTTCTGGCTGCGCCAGGTCTTAGTTGCAGCAGGCGAACTCTTAGTTGAGGCAGGCATGCAGGATCGAGTTCCCTGACCAGGGATCGAACCCAGGCCCCCTGCATTGGGAGCGCGGAGTCTTACCCACTGGACCACGAGGGAAGTCCCCACAATGCAGATTTGAAACTCCATACTTCACATTCCGAAGTCAATCCATGAACCCTCAGAGTCTAGACCCAGACTCTAGAATCCAGGCCCCATAACTCAACATCCAAAATCTATCATTCATATTCCAGGGCCCAAAACCTCAAGTCCTAGAGTCCAAACATCAGACTCCAGATTCCTAGTCTGGACTCTAGATTCAAAGGCCCTGGATCTAGGACCCAAGACTGAGACCTGTCACTGAAAGGCCAGAGTCCAGGATCCAGATTCCAGACCCAAACTCCAGAAGTCACATCCCAAAATCCGCTCCCGACTTCAGGTCATGAGTGGCCGATTCTAGGCCCCAAACTCAGAATCCAGAATTGGAGATCCAGAATCAAAGATGAAGAATCCAAGATCCAGAATCCAAAAGTGGGAGGTTCAGACTCCAGGATCCAGAATTGGGGATACGTATATCCAGAACCCAAGGTCCAGAATTGGATATCCGGACCCAGGATCCACTGTCCAGAATCAGAGACCCAAGATCCAGAATCCAGAAGAGAGGGTTCAGAATCCAGAAGCAGGGATCCAGAATTGGGGGGATCCTGGTCCAGCTCCAGAATCCAAGATCCAGACCCCTAATCCAGGCACAAGAAGCATGACTCTAGAATCCAGTTTCTACGCTCCAGACCCCAAATTCCAGGTTACATGCTCCAGACTCCCGGCTCTCTGTTTTGATCTCCAGTTTTCTGCTCTTGCCCTACTGTCTCCTCCCCCTTGACAAGCTGCCCTGGGTAGGGACATTCCTCCTCAGAGACTCAGATAAAAGCTTCAGCCTAATACATGCTCAGTCGGTCTTGTCCCCCACCCCACCAGCCACTTAGGCATCCCTGCCTGTAAACCTGACTCTCAGCCACTTGCCACCTCACCCTATCCCCCTCCCCCAAGACCCAGGTGGGGCTGGGAGCTTATAAATTCAGGCATTCATGTGCCTGCTTGCTTTCTTCTGGCTTCCAAGCTACCCCAGATGCTGCTGGAGGATCTGGAGGGGGTGAGATCTTTGAGATGGGGCAGGGGGTTTGGAGTGAGGAGAGACACAGGTCTTCCCTGGACTAGGGGAGACATGGGATGCCCTGGCTCCAGGCAGCAGACATGGACTGCCCTGAGGGATTTGCCTGTCAAGGGCGCCTGGGTAGGTCCATGTGTCCTTTGCTGAGGCACCAAGTTGAGCCTGAACCAAGAAAATGTTCAAGGGGAGCTGCAAGGGGGAGGGCACGGAGTAAATCAGGAGGACGTCTTCTAAAGCACTTGTACCAGAGCCAGGAACAAGGTCAGGAGTTATCATGCGTGAAGGTCAGCTCAGCACAATCTCCCTGAGGCCTCCTGTGTGCCTGGCCCCTGGCTGGGCAGTGCTGGGGACACAGAGAGGACCTGACCTGAGCATTCCGGGGGATGGAACCAGAACAGGTACTATAGGACCCAGAAGAGATACCTGTTAGGTATCAGGGTCTCCCAGAAGAGGTGAGGGCTGAGCCTCAGAGGACAAATAGGAATTTGGAAGATGCGGGGCGGGGGGGCGGGGAAAGGGCTTTAATTCAAGCCCAAAGCTTGCCTAGCTCTGGGAAGTGCTGGGGATCCAGAGTCCAGTTGGGCTGGGCTTGCCCTCAGGGAGTTCTTGGTCTGGAAGGGGAGGCAGACACCACTGACTCAGGTAGGTCAGAAAAGGCCTCCAGGAGGAAGTGGACCTTGAAGGGACTGGCATACCTGGAAGGAGGAACAGCCTGAACAAAAGTGTGGAGGCATGAAATTGCAAGAAGGAAAATGGGAAGAAATAGCCTAGACGCGCAAGGTCACGAGAGACCCGGCCAGAGGGGCTAGAAGGGGAGAAGCCACTCATGGCCTCGCAAGTGAGGCTGGGGGACTGGGACTTTATCCTGGGGGTGCCAGGGGTCTGCAAGAGCTGTGAGTGGAAAAGGGATCTGGTCAGCTCTGGGTGTAGGGGGGTCCTGTGGAGCCAGGTAGGGGTACAGGCTGTGAGGGGTGTGGGACTTGAGTGGAGGGACAGGCTTGGTAAGGACCCAAGAGGCCAGATAAGAGGCTGGTATGGGGTTTGGGGAAAGAATATATCCTGAGCCAAAGCTTTGGGGTAAGTGGATGGTGTTGGGCTCTGCCAGGCTGTGGGTGTACCTGGGAGTCTGTCCCGGTGCCTGGAGAAACAGCAGACCCTTGGGAGATGGAGAGCCAAGGAGGAAGAGCAGCTTGGGGTGGGGAACAAGGATGGTGAAAAGGGGTTTCTTAAGAGCAGGTGGGATGGGTTTGTGTCTGGAGGGATCCAGGTGGGGGCAGGAGGGTCCAACCTCACACCCGCTCGCTCTCTCCCCTCCCCAGATATCAGCAGAGCCCTGGTTCCTCCTTCGCAACGTGGCTTCTCCTCACCTTCTT